ACCAGCATGTGGCCAAGCAAAAGAGAGAATGTGGATGCTGTTAATCATGAAGGTGGATGACAGGTTGAAAGGTTGCTTTGGCCTGCATGGAAAAAATCATAAGGGTGAAAATGTAGAATTGGAACAAGTATATTAATAATACATAAGAAATCTGGGAACACACTGCTCTGATTGAATTTGGACCCATTGTTCAAAGACAATGGGAAGTTCTAGTTGGCAGCCAGCCTACCCCAGCATTGAAGACTAGACAACCTCTGTTGGCATCTGAGACAAGATGTACTGAATTTACAAGTGGTCACGCTGACTCTTGCCAGTTCCAACAAAACTTTCCCCAAGATTTTTCTGTCTAGACAACTCCATTTATGAACTTGGGAAGCCAGTTCCTCTTGAAACCCAAACAAATGAAGGAAAACCTCTGATTCACAAGTTACACTTCATGGTAATAACCCAGTAAGGTATGAGTGGTCAAACAAGCACAAAGCGTTTGCCTTTCTCTCAAGCTTAATTTTTGAGTCTGAACAGACACTGCCCAATTGAAGAGTACCCTGACTGAGATCTGTTTCAGACCTCTGATTAGTTCTTTATCTAGTTTTAAAAGGGACTGGCATACAGGTGGGAAGAGAGTAAGCTCTAGGGTTAACTGGCAAATTTAAAAATTAGTAAGTCACCAGACTGGAGTATGTACACGAGTTCTCAAATGTGAATGTTGATTTTCCGAAAAATACGTGCAACATCATGAAACTCATCCTCTTTATTAAATGTTACTATCCTAATACTAAGTTTTAACGGGCAGCTAGAAAAGTATGTGTCTGTTAACCCAATATGTGCTGCAAATTAATTGGTTGAAAGCACTACAAGAATTATTAAAATATATAGGAGAACAAGCCCAAGTGAGGAAGGACTGCTTCCACAGAGAGACATCCTGCAAATTATATATACATTCAGAGTTGTTTTCAGAATGTCACTGACCACACAGCAAGGAGTGATCTGACACAAATTATATATTTTAACTTTCAAAGTGCTGTTAATAAAGTCATTTACCAAAGTCTCCTGAGTAAACGTAGCATTTCTTTATAGGTTAAGAGGACCTGTCTAGTATACCTCATTAAAGGACAGGGAGAAATAGGGCAGTTTTTATAATGGATGAAAAGCAGTACAGTCCTCGTGGAGCCCTCCACAGATCTCTGTTGGAATCTGTACTGAAGCATGGGGTACTGAGAACTGAGGTAACCAAGTGTGCAGATGACAAATTATTTATGATTGTGAAAACCCAAGAGTCTGTCAATAGCTCCAAAAGTATCTTTCCACACTTAGTAAATGGACAACAAAAGGCAGGTATGATTATTATTCATAATATTTATATTATTTAATTAATAAAATGCATTGGAACAATTGTTTTCCCACTTCATATATAAACGGATAGGGTATGCACTGGTGTTGACTGTCCAGAAAATGTATTTTGGGATTACAGTAGATACCTTAAATCAGTTATACTCACTTAGTGGCTTGGGAGCCACACGTGACTCTTCTGAGCACCATTCTCCAACATGCCACATTCTCCATGTCCTAGGAAAGTAGGCAAGGCCAGTACCCCAAAGGACTTGTGGTGGGCAGGTGGTTCCCAGCTGCCAACAACCCTCCCATCTTTCTCTGCAGCCTCTGTGGGAGAACAACAAACCGGCCACATAGAAGGGATAACAAAACCACCATCACCACTGTGGCAGCCACCTGGGAGAAGAGTAAGTATGCCCCTGGAAGAGCACTATGCTCAGGAAATAAGAACTTGCTGGTGGTCCTCGGCCCGAGAGAAGTCTGACTGTCCTTGACTAGGGCCAGGGCTTTCTCAGCCCTGGCCCCTGCTTGGTGGCACACTCTACTGTAAGACGTCCATGCCCTGCAGGAACTGTTACCTTTATGCAGGGCACGCAAGGCAGAGATGTTCTGCTGGGCCTTTGGTTGAGGGCAGTGACAGGACTTCTTTTGGCACTCTCATATAATCCCCCACCCTTTATAACCCCTCTCCCCGGGGGAGACTGGGGAGTTAGGATTTCTCCACCATCCTATATATTGTATATGCACTGTTTTTACCTACTAGTATGTACTGGACTGTTTTAATTTAGTTTTATATTGAAAATGTATACTGCCCTGTTGTAAGCTGCCCTGAGCCCTACTTTTAGGGAAGGACGGCCTAGTAAATCCAAAACCATAATCACCATCATCATCTGGTTGTCTTACTCTCCTTTCTCCATGACCAGTTTGCAATCCATTGGGTGCCTTGGCATTTTCACTCCCTCACATAAACTGCTGTGCCCCAGGCTGGAGAGAGAGTCAGGGGGTGTGGCATATGCAAATAAGTTATGCTAATGAGTTATGCTAATGAGCTCCGGCAGCTCTTTTTCTACAACAAGACCCCTGTGTACACGTATACTCTGGTAATTAAAAAGATTAGTTACATGTTGAATGTTAATAGCTATTATCTTGTATTATTATATGTGTGCTTGGTGGTGTGGTGTGTAGGATACACAATAGTCATGTGTTTTTTTAGATTGATGGTAATTGTGAATGTGGCTCTCCATGAGCCAGGGAGTAACACTGGCTTAAATGAAAATGTGAATGGTAGCAGGGAAATGGCAAACCCCATATAGCAGAAAAGCATCTGAAAAGAAAATTAACAATACCGTAAGAACATAAGAGAAGCCAATGTTGTATCAGGCCAATGGCCGATCCAGTCCAACACTCTGTCACACAGTGGCCAAAAATACCAGGTGCCATCAGGAGGTCCAGCAGTGGGGCCAGGACACTAGAAGCCCTCCCACTGTTGCCCCCCCCCAAGCATCAAGAATACAGTGCATCACTTGCCCCACACTGAGAGTTCCTATCAGTACCTTGTGGCTAATTGCCATTAATGGACCTCTACTGCATACGTTTATCCAATCCCCCCTTGAAGCCGTCCATGCTTGTAGCCGCCACCACCTTTTGCGGTAGTGAATCCCATGTGTTAATCACTCTTTGGGTGAAGAAGTACTTCCTTTTATCTGTACTAAACCCGACTGCTCAGCAATATCATTGAGTGCCCAAGAGTTCTTGTATTGTGAGAAAGGGAGAAAAGTACTTTCTCTATCTACTGTATCCCAATGCATAACCTTGTCAACCTTGATCATGTCACCCATCGTCATTTCTCCAAGCTAAAGACCCCCAAGTGCTCTAACCTTTCTTCATAGGGAAAGTGTTCCAACCCTTTTATTATTCTAGTTGCCCTTTTCTGCACTTTTCCCAATGCTATAATATCTTTTCTGAGGTGTGGTGACCAGAACTGTACACAGTATTGCGAATGAGGTCACACCATCGATTTATATAGGGGCATTATGATGCTGGTAGATTTGTTTTCAATTCCCTTCCTAATAATCCCCAGCATAGTGTTGGCCTTTTTTATTGCAATTGCACACTGTCTCAACATTTTCAGTGAGTTATCTGCTACAACTCCAAGATCGCTCTCTTAGTCTCTGCCAGTTCAGACCCCATCAACGTGTATTTAGTTAGGATTTTTGGCCCCAATGTGCATCACCTTGCACTTGGCCACATTGAACCCCATTTGCCATGTTGACGCCCACTCACCCATCCTCAACAGATCCCTTTGCAGTGCCTCACAATCCTCCCTGCTTTTCACCACCCTGAACAATTTCATGCCATCTGCAAATTTAGCCACTTCACTGCTTACTCCCAACTCTAAATCATTAATGAACAAGTTAAAAAGCAGTGAACCAAGTACTGATCCCTGCAGTAGCCCAGTGCTTACCACCCTTCACTGAGAAAACTGCCCATTTATACTCACTGTCTGTTTTCTATTAATTAGCCAGTTTCTGATCCACAAGAGGACTTGTCATTTTATCCCATGACTATTGAGCTTACTTAGGAGCCTTTGATGAGGAACTTTATCAAAAGCTTTCTGGAAGTCAAGGTAAACAACATCTATTGGGTCCCCCTTGTCCAAATGTTTGTTCACTCCCTCAAAGAACACCTACAGGTTAGTGAGACAAGATCTTCCCTTAAAGAACCCATGCGGAGTCTGCCTCAATAGTTTTTGTTCATCAATGTGCCTACTAATTATCTCCTTAATACGTTTCCACCAGCTTACCCTGTATCAATGTCAGACCGACTGGCCTGTAATTTCCCGGATCTCCTCTGGAACCCTTTTTAAAGATAGGAGTGGCATTAGCTATCTTCCAGTCCTCAGGAATGCCTTATATAAATCTATGATGCAGCCAAGGCTGTGTTCAGTTCTGATCTCCATCACAAAAAGATAACACAGACCTAGAAAAGTTGCAGGAAGAGGCAGCAAAAACAACCAATGGATCCAATGGCATTAGTCCTCCATTTTCTGTGGTAGTATGTGTCTAAATATTAGTTGGGTGGGAGCAAACTATGACAGAAAACACTTGTCTTTGTGTCCTGTTTGTTGGCTTCACCAATGGGGGTTGGGGTTGGATCCCAATGCTCCTTTCTGAAAACGAAGGAATCTTCTGCATATAGGAGATGCATTCTGTCAGGAAGATGCGTTCTGTTCATGAAACAAGTTCTCTGTGACTGGAAGTTTCTTCACTTAGTGAGAAGGTACCTTAAAATCCAACCCAATCCAAAAATGGATTCTTGATTTGATCCAGCATGACACATCTTGAGTTTTCCACCAATTAGAATAGTCCTCTACCAATATTATCACATCTTGCTTGATAAAGCTTTGTTTTATTTCATTGCAGTACTATAATATAAACTAAAGCCCTTGTGTAGAATACATCTAAATCCATGATTTATGTTGACTACCCACATGCTGTGCATTGATTGAGGTCAGAGTCTAAAGAAAAGCAGAGACTCATAGAAAGAAGCTGCTACAACACCTTAGGGGCACATCTGATACATTTTTATTAATTAAGAACTTTCATACAAAATGTAAATAAGTTATAAATGCATAGTTAATTTGAAATACATTTTTATAAAACTGCAGGATATTCTCATTAATGTATATTATTTTTAAATTATTCTGTTTTTCACCACAGTGCATAATGCTGTCACAGCTCTTTGTTATGATGTAAATTTTACAAATCACTTTAAAAATGGTGTTCAGCTTCTTGATCACTGTGAAAGAAGCCTATCATTCTGTGGCATCAGGGTACCATCACACAGTACAAGTCTGATTCAAGTGCATCCAAGTATGTTTAGGAATACCCCCTGGGGAGCTGTGATCTACATGTCATTCCCCCCACATTCACTTTATAAAACTCTTGATCTGGAAAATTTCAGGAAACTATTCTCCCCTTGCCATACCTTTAAAATAAAACAATCCCTTGCCATTTAGCCATCTTTCTGGGTTCTTCAGTAGTAGATGCTGCACCCATATCTTAGAAACTAGTGTGTTTGGCTAGTGGGCACTTAACTTGCTAGGAGACCACAAAACCTTCAGCTGGAAATTGCTCACTGAGACCTTCATGCAGTTGCTTGGCCCAGGGGCAACAACATGGATATACTGCAACATGCCAGGGAGAGACATCAGAAGTTCCAGGAAGAAACAATTTCAAAGGCTGTAACTTTATAGTCTAGTACAAACCAAGCTTGCCTGCTTTTGGAATGAAAACATTGAGCAGGAAATAATTCTTCAGATTGTATCACTTTTTGTGGCTTGTTTTGACACCACATTATGATATCTGTAGATGTGTACATGTAGCAGGATGCATGTTATTTTGTACCATGAGGAGAAGCACCTTCCCTGCAGGCATTCATGTGGGGGGGGGGGGGAAGAATCACACTTGGAATGGCTACTCATGTTACAAAATACAATTGCCCTGTACACTAATACAGGGCTGCATTACATGGGAGTCATTATAGTTCCACTGCTGGTAAATAAAAAGGTAGAATGGAGAAGCAATGCCATGTCTATTGTATGCTGTGGAATATCCATTTCGTACCACTGGCTTCTGCATGAAAGTATGATTCTGACCAAGGCTGAAAATTTCAAATGGAACTTAAGGCATACAGAAGCTGTAGTGTAAATGTTACTCCTCTTCCTAGTTCCACCCGGCAACTCCCATCTTCCAATCTTTAAAATGCTTCTCCATTTCATTTCTGGCTTTCCAATCACCTACATTTACAGTGGGGATAATTTTGTGAGGCTTCAACCACTGGACAAATCGCTTCATTTCCAGGAAACTGCTGTGTTCACTGTAAGGGATCCCTGCCAGCAAAACAACACAGAAGACATTTAGAACACACGCTTTGTGAAAAAAATATTACTGTTTTTTCTTCTAAAAAGAAAGACAGGATATACATTTAGGAAATAAATATGGCAAAGAAAAGACTGGGAAGAACATTTTGATTTCTCATTCCAAGCATCAAGCAAGTTGTCATGCTGAAATCCCGAGCGTCTTAGTAAGCATCATTCATCAATCCACCTTCAGTGCAAGCAAATGCTCTGTTCAGAAGCCAAGTCACAGCATGGCTTCCTCTGTTATGAGGTTTTAACGATATCCACCAAACCAGTACAGGAAAACTGTAAAATCTTTTCCTTGAATGCTTCCTGCCAGTTTGCATGTGATTTGAAACTGAGGTATAGAACAATGGAATGTGCTGAAACTTCCAAAGAATTACCAACAAAGATTCATTTGGCAGTACTTAACTCCAAATAAAGTAGAGCTCTCCCCACCTTTTCAATGTACTTCAATGGGCATACAAATTCAGTAATAAGAGCTACAACTGATTGTCCTCTCTGGGGTGTACACACACACACACACACACACACACAGAGAGAGAGAAATATTAATCATCTAGTTTGACCTAATCTACGGATACGTAAATCCACAGAAAAATTAAAACTTAAAAAAAAATGGGGGGAGGGGGCGTTTGAATCCACCGAATACAAGAGTCATGTCTGCACAAGTGAAGACAACGCTCCAACACTCTTCTATGTGGTAAAGCTATAAGTGGGCAGGGGAATAGAGTTGTCTCCGCTGCCCTTGTTGAGGTGGCAAAGGTGTGTATGGGTGGGGGAGCTGTTCCTTTTGCAGCTGAGGTGGACAAGTCATCCTGTTGTTCATGCTGCTGCCTCTGAGGTAGTGAAGCTGTAGGTGGCCAGGGGAACAATTTCGCCACCACTGTCAAGGCAGAGAAGCTATCCTGCTGTTCACACCACCACAGCTGAAGCAGCAAAGCTGCAGGCAAACGGAGGTGCTGTCCTTACTGCCAGCAAGGCTGAGAAACTGTCCCTGCTACTGCTGCTGAAGTGGTGAAGCTGCAGGCTGGACAAAGCCACACCCGCTGCGATGGTGAATTGCAGCCAGGCTGGGGAGCTGTCCCAGCCACTGCCACTGATTCAGAGAAGCAGCTGCAGAAGGGTGAAGGAGCTGTCCCCACCATGGTGGTGAACTCCAGGGAGGTGAGGAAGCTGCAGGATAGAAAAACCCCCCCCCCACGATTCTCACAGGTTCCCACCTGTCTTGCTAATCCAAGGGGGAAAAAATCCCCGTTTATTTATTTATTTAGATTTTCAGGCCGCCCTTCCTTGCAAGCAAGACTCAGGGCGGCTTACAACAGAAAAAAAGGATATACAATGGATAATTAAAAGTTTAAAAAAACAAGAATAAATACATAAAACATACAGCACCAATAATTCATCAGCATAATTTAGTCATTCCAAGATGGTGGGAAAATGTTCAAATTGTACAAGCCAAGGGGGCCAGCTGGCGGAGAATGGAGAGTATGAGAGTGCCAGACTACATGCTGTACCATTGCTGTCCTCAACCGAATGCCTGGCAGAACATTCTCTGCCTTCCATGCCCTGAGGAAAGGTAACAAATCCTGCAAGACACAGATGTTCTCCAGCAGAGAGTTCCACCAGTAAAGCCTCAAACCCTTTGTTGGGGGGGGGGGGTGTCCTGTCAGCACTATATTTATTAGCACATCTGATCAGCCTTTGAAAAATGCCACATTCCAAGAAATGCTAATAACATGTATTTGTCATTTCCCCATAACCATGACTCTGTAACATACCTCAGAGTAGAATACTAAAAGCTGGTGTAGTATAGTGCTCAAAGCTATGGTTAAGTAATGCCTGGTTCATATCTCACTAGAGAATCAAGGACATACAGCCTCAGCCCAGTATTTGAAATATCTATTTATTACACTTATATCCCACCCTATCCCATGGTGGGCTCAGGGCAGCTTACAACATAAATAAAATACAGTAGCTATATAATTAAAACCAGTTAATTAAAATAAGATGGCAGCAAATACATACATTGTTCTAGAGCAGTCCGATACTCCGCCTGTTAGACGTTAGCAGGGTATTAAGCATCTGTAGGAGATAATACTGATCTACCTTACAGGGCTGTTTTCAATATTACAGCAAGATAATGTAGAGAGAGTGCTTTAACTCCTTTAAAATATTGTATGTATTCAAGGTTTTAGAATTATAATATAAACTATAATAATAATTTATAATAAGCACCACCACCACCTTTGAGTATTTTAGACTTCTTAGTCACAGTCTAAACACAAAGTTCTGCATACCTAAAATGATCTATTTCAATAGGTTTAGTTCTGCCTAAATCGGTGTTGGGTTATGGTTCAAATGTGTGAGCAGGGTGACGGTTGCTTATGACCTAATCCTTAAAATTGCTACCACAGAGGGGAGGAAAAGATTTCTACCAAGCAGAGCATCATTCATCTTTATAAATCTATGGTGAACTGTTCCTATTGGTAACGTTTAGCTATGTTTTTAGCCAATCTAGGGTTTTAGTTTAATCTGTTCTCAATTATAATCTCTATCAAGTTTCATGGAACTGATATGGGTTTATTAGTATACAGTTTGTGTATGGGTATTTGTTTTTAAGCAAAGGGCTGCAAATCAGTGATCAGTTACACATCACACTCCACTGCTACATTTCAGTTCCTTCAGAACTCTATATTAAAACTGATCTGGTGCTAGTTACATTAGCACAAGTTTTAGATCATAGGACATCAACATATGGCAGAAAACAATAAGTGGAAAAAGCTATTTGAAGAAAACTAAACATATTAAATCATTTGAAATGACAGTACCGTATATAGTAATTTTTCCTCTGGTCTGAGGTTGGATCTCACTTAAGGAGTAACATCTGTCTGAATACGTCCACCCAGTGGGTTTAAAGGCCAAAATCTGATCAAAATTCTCAGAGAACTTGTTCAAGTGGTTCTGTAAACCCTGACAATAGAAAGTTATCGTTAGTTATTATGAATACAAGACCCACAGACTCTGCAAAGGTGGCATGACAAATGGCAAACTGATATAGTGTTTTATATCAAATATGAGAACATTAATTCAGGTATAAAGGCACAGAGTGGTCAGTTTAGTACCCTAAAACAGAATGAGCATTATATGCATTATATTGGGGAGAAATGGAAACGGGGGGGGGGGAACCCTACTGGTGACACAGTCCATATTACAGACATTTTAGACAATGGCTTATATTGGAACAAACAGGGTAATTAAATTAGAAATTGCAGCTATCCCAAAGATTCTTTGTGTAATTGCATGTGAGTATGTATATGCTGCTAAACTGTATAATTTCCTTTCAGTATACAATCCTGCCAAATACATCCTGTGCTTAAGACATCAATGGAACACCATATAACTGTATTGTTAATTAGTAAGGCCTGTAATCCTATGACTAGGTCCTCAGAAGTTACATTCCACTGAAACCATCAAGATTCAGTACTGGGAGACATAGTTAGGATTGACCTACAAGCCAGATCGTCGTAAGATATTTTAGGAATAGAGGTATCTGAAGCATATTCAAAGATACAGAAACAGATGTCAGTGACCAACCCAACCCATTTCAGAAAACTGAAGGGCCCAATTCCTCAAAAAAGAGAAAAATATGAATACTCAGCACCATGAAAACAGCAAAGCAGGGAAATTGACCAAAACTGAAGACAGGAAGACCAATTGGAGTGCAATGTAGGTGAGGCAAAACAGTGAAGACAAGATAGTGGCAACCAACAAGACCAAGCTAAAAGCTAAAATACAAGAAGAATGAAACCAAATAGGAGATAAGAGACAAACAATGAGAGCAGAAAAAGAATGCCTAATTTCAGTGGATGAATACACACGAAAAAGTCTTAACAGGAGAACAGGAAGACATAAAAAAAAGTATATAAGAGATCAAAAAGTGATCCAATATAGGAAAATGGTAGCTAAGAGATCCAGCAAAGAACAAGTTGTAATAAATAAGATCAACAGCATGTTCACCAAGATGAGCCAGAGGAATGATATAAACATAAAGACTGAAAGAACTACAGAGAGAAGACAAATGCCAAGTAGACTGATGAAAGACAGCATCAAAATGGTTTTTAGATCTAATTACTGGAAGAGGAGACAACAACAAAAAAGAGAAAGCCAGGTCTCAAATTTAAAGAAGAAAAGAACACCACCCAAGGGGGATGATACAGTATTAGAGAGAAGAAGAAGAGAGAAGAAGAAATTGGATTTATACCCTGCTCTTCACTCGGAGTCTCAGAGCGGCTTACAAACTCCTTTCCCTTCCCCTCCCCACAACAGACACCCTGTGAGGTAGGTGGGGCTGAGAAAGCTCCTGACAGAAACTACTCTTTTTTCAAGAACAGCTCTTATCAGAACTATGGCTTGCCCAAAGTCATCCAGCCAGGTGCAAGTGGAGGAGTGGGGAATCAAACCCGGTTCTCCTAGATCAGAGTCTGTGCACTTAGCCACTACACCAAACTACACCAAAATCAGCATAATCCTCCTGAGTACCACAACAGGACACATGAGGAAACTTGAGGGAAGAGGCAGAAGACAGGGCAGATAAGGTTAATATTCCCTCTCCCCAATACTTTTCATAGCATAAAAACCCAATGCAAAAGAAATGAACCAAAAGTGACAATTTATAGCTACAGCTGAAAACAGTTACATGGTATCAGTGAAAAATGTACTAGCCACAACTTGGCATCCACTTGGTTTCTCTAAGTTATGCACATTCTAAAGTTGTGAAACTTTTATTCTGTTGAATATATTATGTAATTAGAGTCTGTCCTCTGGTTCATAATAAATTTTCAGTATGATTGTGGCAAATCTAAGGCTTTGAAAGGTAAAAGAGAAAGTGTATCACACATAATCTCCATGGTTAATAGGAGAGGGGATACAATCTCTGTATAAAAGCTACTTCAAAAAAGACCTACAGGTCATCTGATCTGGTTTCATGAAACTGCATTAAAAGAGAGATTACACATCCTGTAAATTGTATTTGCTATTAATTTTTAACTCTGCCCTGTGCTGAAAAAGGTTGGGGTTATCAAAAAAGAGGTAACTCAATGTGATGTTAGAAAGAATGATAAAGAATTAAGCTGACACACTTCTGTCTTTCTCCCCAATCAATTCAAGATTAACCATATAATTACAAGTGACAGCTTACCTTAAAATTAATTTGCATCATAGGTAGAAGATGAAGAAAAGTGCTGTTCCAGTCCAGGGTGATGAGGGAATTTATTTTTGCTGATTCCAAGCACTGCAGAGTTTTGTATTTCTCTTGGGACACACTCACTTTTGAGCCCAGAATTTCAGCAATAGCTACAGAATTCACAGTGGAGAGAATTAAGACACAATAAAAAAGGAACAAACAAAAGAAAATAAAGCTTGAATTTGTTGTCCTAAAGGACCCTCCTGAATTTTTGCGAGTCTCTGCTAGTCCCTGACATGACAGACTACAATCTGTAAAACACTACCCAATCAGACAGAGGTATTTTAGAAAGAAAGAAGTCACAGGAAATTGGGCTATATAGAGCTGGAAGGAAGTTTTGCTATCAGTTTCTCTCACTTGCTATCATTCCACCCACCTATTTTCCCATGTTCAGGGAAAACTAATAAACATTAGCAAAGTCTCATTCCTCAAGACTGTAATAGTAAAGGCTTCAGAATTACTTTTATTACCTTGTAAGTCTTTTTCTGGGGGAGAGAACAGCAATAATGATAATAAATTGCAATTCAAGGAAGCAAATTGACGTTTCATTGAAAAGCTGCCAACTAGTATATTCTTTTTTTTAAAAAAAAGTTGCATTGTGCTCCTATTAGAAAATGGTGCAGACTAATTAATTATAAAAACCTATTAAAGCTGTATCCGCCTGCGTGATTAAAAGCCATTCAGCTAAAAGCTCCATAAGATTTAAAAGTACAGAGATAAGTATAAGGCATGAAATGGTTTCAATTGAAATAAAGTGGCTAAAAGATTCATTTAGGAAACAATGTTCAAGAATAGTTAATGTGGATATCTCAGCTGGTTGCAGCTTGGCATGGGAATAAATTACATTGCAGTTGAAAGTGTAATGTGCATACCAAGAGGTTGAGGTTAAAAGTTTTTAAAACACCTTACATTTACAAGTCTATTAAGACTGCTTTAATGCTTTAAAATTGTAGCATTACTAAAAAGGGGCTGCACTCAGTGATTAGTTCAAGTCACACTCTGGTTCATCTCCACGCTCTATGCCAAGGTGACCAATGTGCTTTGGCTTAAATCACTTTTTCAGAAATACTCTAATCCTGAAAAGAAAAATGTTACAAGTAGACTTTTCAAAAGAGAGCTTTGATGTTCTGCCTAATGAAACACAAAATGTGAATCCTATTAACAGAGGCTATAATCATGCCCTCACTTACTTAGCAGTAAGCCCTATTTAAAACAATCACTCACACAGCACCTTTTGGCCTCCATTATAAAGAGTCACACACATACCTAGAAAGACTTTTTCTTTTCCAATAGAATATGTGCCGCAAACAACCAAAGTTCGGGGGGTTAAAGTCACTGTCTCAAAGGCAGCATTGACAGCAAACTGAATAACTTCTTGCTGGGAAGGAAAAGTATATTCAGGTCTACAATACCTAAGAAATGGAAACAGAAGATATATTGAAACATTGGCTCCAGAGGAAACATTGCTTTATATAATGGCCTAAACAAGGCTTATATTTAAACAGAGCAATAGTAAAGCAGAGATATAACCAATGGCAAGTGCCCCTTAGCAGTGTTCTGTATCTCCATTGCACTGACAGAATACGTGCCATATGCTGGACATAAAAACTGTCTTACATTGTCAGACCAGTGTTCCACTTAGCTCATCACTGACTCCTCTGACTGGATCTCCAGGTCTTTCCCAACAGACTGAACCTGGGATCTTCTGTGGGCCATGCACGTGTCTATGGGCTAGCCATGTATACTGCTGAGAAAGGGGGGAGGCATAAAACCCCTTTCAGGCTAGGGGCCAGTCAGTGCTGCGTCACTTGCCTCACTAGCTTCTTGCTTTTGACTCAGTCAGTGCTGCCTCACTAGCTTTTGCTGGAAGTGGCACAAGCAACTAATCGTGGCAATCTATCCATCTGTCTGTTTACACATTTTCATACCACCTTTCCTCCAAGGAGATGAGAGTGGTGAATATGCCCCTCCTTTTCTAGCCCAACAGCAACCCTGTGACATAGGCCATGCCGAGAGAGAGATGG